CCTCGACAAGCCTCCATTCGTGAGGTGGTGGCTCTCGGCGCCCAGCACCTCAGCGTGCCAGCCCTCCGCTGGGCTCAAAGCCCGTGCCGCCGCGGTGGCCTTGGCACAAGGGGTGCTGGGCACAGCGACCTGGCGTGCTCCTGGCCCGGTCGGTGTTGGACAAAACCCCCCGGAGCAAGCAGCGAATACGGGGTGGAGTGTCTCCTCCTTGTCACGCCGTCCTGGGACTCGGTGCCCTAGCGCAGAAACTCACAGCGTCACGAAGGAGCGAGAGCTGTGGACCCGGGAGGTGGCTGCTCTCCCTTCCCCCACCAATCCCTGCTGCTGCCAGCACTTGGTACTTGCTGATTTAAGATTGCCTGGGTGGCCTTCATCTATATTTTAAACACACCTGAATATTTAATTTGCTCTAAATCGAACTCATGTCTTGAAATTTTCCTTGGCCAAGAAAACAGAGACCTTGTCAGAAACACCGTTAGGGAGCAGCCAGGTGCCCAGAGAGGCCAGGCTGTACTTGTTTGAGACTCTCACTACATCCTCCCCGGAGCAACGCTCGGCAGCGTGGCTGACGGCCAAGAACAACAGGATATTCCGGCTGATTAACTGGTACCGCTGAGAGACTGGGATTACACTCATTTTACCCCGATACGCACCGCTGAAGTAACTTGAGAAGTTTCCACCACCAGATACAACTGACAAAATCCACCGAGACTAAGCGCCCTTCCGAGAGCTCTGGTTCCTGCCCGCGGGCCTGGGCAAGAACGGCAAAAAGCAGCGTGGGGGGAGCTCCAGGAGGCATTTACCAACCGCATCGGCAGAGAACAGCCCTCGGCCACGCGCGAGGGATCCACCTCCCTGACAGTTACACAGTTTGGTTCCGCTGGCTTACAAAATACACTGATCAGAACAGCTCTGCAGGCGAATCACACACTTACACCTCCTCGTCCTGTAACTCAGCATCATTTAAGGGAGCCTAAATCCTCCTATCCCAGGAAAACCTGGAAACGCCTCCCCATCGGCAGACGAGCCCCGCGGCGCGTCCCGAGGGCCAGGAGCACAGGCTTTGCCCTCGGAGGGGCTCTGGGGCCGGGAGCCTCCATCGCACTCGGAGCACGCGAGGGGCCCGGGAAGGAGCTGTGCTGCTCACGCGCTCAGCAGGGAACAGCCCAAACCCAGCTCCTTCCCCACCTCTCCCTCTGCTCTTCACAGACTGCTTCAGGCTCAGCAGGTCGGTGTTTACAGCAATAAGCGGACGCTGCCCTTGCTGGACCTCTTCACCTTCTCTTTTCGCACCACCTGTTTGGTGTTATTTTTTTCCTTTTTTGTCCTTCAGTGCACGTGTGCAAGACAAACCTGACCTGGTAACTACGTGCATAACCACAGCGGTTCTGCGTTTCCTCAAACGTCTGTGCAATCTGTCGGCGCACCAAAGACCGATGGGCTCAGGCGGCCTCCGCAGCAGCCGAGCGCAGAGTAAGGCAGCAGACCCTCCAAACGCAGCCAGGGCGCACAGCCCACAGGGGTCTGAAAGGTAGGAACCCCACTCAGAACTGCGTCGACCAAGGAAACGCAAACAGCACGGGGACTGGACAGCAGGAGAGGCGTTTCACCTCTCTGGAAAAAGGGCCTTCGGGGTAACCAGGTTCCAAACGTATTTATCCAGGGAGATCTGGAGACGAGCAGACACAGAACAACAAGACGAGCCCCGCATTTCAAGCCACGCGTGAAGCCTCCACACCACACAGACCCCTCCTGCCCACCGCTCTCGCTGGCCTATCGCTGTCACAAGATGACAGCAAATCACAAGAATTTGTTGCTAAGCCACTATGGCTTCTATTTCATCTACTTCTGCAGTTTCACAAATTGAGCACCGCTGTGCTTATGCCCACAGAGATCTGCTGGGAAAAGGAGGGACGCAAGACAGGAGGAGTTTTTCGGGGACAGGGGGAAGCCTAACTGACAGGGAAAGAAATATACGGTACGTGGAACACAGCAGCTTGGCAGGGGCTCACGAATTCACCGTGCTCTCACTTTAGATCTAGATTGTGTAAATCATTGTGCACATCTTTTGGCAGTAATTATACGACATCTGCCTGGTAGAATGCATTGTGACCACCGTGGTCAGCTACACGAAATGCCCCCAAGACACTGCCATGCTGCTCTTGTCCGCTCTGCCGCATGCCAAGGAGCCACGCTGCAGCTCTTGCCTAACTGCAGCAAAAAGGACCAATGTGAAGAGACCTACATAAATCTTACTTAGAAGATGGTATAAAGTACTGCAGAGTACCCACTAACACCACTGCGGTAGCGCGCTACAATAATCCTTACATTCAGGCCGTGAATGGACCTGGTTCTTCCACAGATCGGCAGCAACTCTGTGAGGCACCAGCGTGCACAAGGTGCTTCAGAATCACAGCCGTGGTCCAGCATGTCGCTTTTCTTCCCTAGGAACGCTGACACTCGTAGCGATGCTGAATTCAGCCGGTTTAGGTGAAGCTAGGCAAGTATCTGGCTGTCTGTACTTACATCCTCCAGAAATCTGTCTTTTCTCTCTCCAGGTGGCCTCAAAGGGCCCACCTGGGTCTCTGCTACCCAAGCGAGAGGTCTGGATGCTGCAGGTCTCCCGAGCAACTCAGGGCTGATCGTCACAAAGGACTGTGATGAAGAAACAGGTCATTTGTAGACATGATCCTCCAGAAGGGCTACTTGTGCACAGTTTTGCTGCATGAAACCACTTAGACCAGAGCTAACTTTGATCACGACTGCATCGTAAAGTTGTGGGTTTCTTCCCCAAAGAGCGAACAGCATTAGCATTTTAATAATTGTACACCTTCTGCATTCAGCAACCTTTCTCTTTACACATCTAATCAGCATTAATTTAGATGCAGGGTAATTAGCAGATACACTCACGGATGATGATCTCTGCAAATTTAACCACTTGCTGTCCTGCGGCAGGCACTAACAGTCGGAGTCCTAGTAAGACACAACACACTTAGGGCAGCAGAGGGGAAATCTTACCGTGGGCAGCAAACGAGATTTAAACCAACACGGAACGCATTTCGGAGCAGAGACTCGGCTCAAACATTTGGGTGTTCTCCCCTCCAGCAGAAGGCCAAAACAGTAAAGGCCACTCTGTCTTTGCCTTCCCATGTTTTGTCTATCAACAAGCCCGCATGTTGGTATATGAACTATCGAGATATTTACCGTCAACAGGCAGGCAAGTATCCGGCAGCACTGTTCCTCGACTTTGTATGTGCTGTTCCACCCAAGCAGGGCTGCAGACAGACCCAGCAGGTCCCCGTGAGAGCAAGAAATCCGAACCACAGCCAGCAGGCTCGAACCTTGCTTGGCTTACTTGCTGGGCTCTCGGGCCTCAGGTGGACCCCAGCTTCTCTGCCAAAGTAAACACCTCTGGGTAGTCCTTGGCCGCTTTGCCTCAGCAAGGAAAGCAGTTTTGCAGGCTACAACATTTCTTCCCCTGAAGACTCTCAAAAACTCAGAAAAGAATCATCAGATCAGTGTGAGCGAGCCTGACGGTATTCTGCATGACATGGGACCAAACAGGAAGATGTGACATTAAAAACACCATGAATGTCCAAGCTGACTTGTTAGTTTGTCACCAAGTTGTAACATCCCTGTTCTTAGTCACATTTTTACCTTCTGGCAAACCGTTTGTCCTTCTGGTGGGTATTACTAGTATGTAATTAAGTTTATAGAAACTCAAGAAGAAAATGACATACTATTTTGATTCACTCTCATTAGGTACCTCTTAAAAGTACCACAGGGCATTTTTAAAGATGAATAATGCCCACAGTTATGATTTTTATAAGGTATCCTTTAATTTTGCACTCTGTAACACGTTAATGATGTCGCCAGTAGCAATTTCTTATTGCATCCCCTCTTTGTATTCGAAGCTCACCTATTGCAATGAGTATTTGTAAAGAAATACATTAATTAAATATGCTTTGGCTTCACCAGCCTAGGAAAAGACTATTAATCATCTTGGAAGCACAAGCACAACCTGCTGTTGCTCACAGGCACCTCACACGAACTGAAATACAGTATTCTTCAGGGAAAAAAATAAAAAAAAAAAGTGAAAAAAAAAGAACACTGACTGATGGTCTGATATCAGACCCTTGAGGTACAACCACCCTCCCAGCTGTCTAATGTCCTTGCTGATCTGGACTTCAGGCTGAACGAGAAGGTGTTTCATGTGCATTTCTACCCACGGGTAGTCGCCACAAACCCTGTTAATATTCTATTGTGTGAGAAAGGTAAAAAAGAAGCTGTGGCTTCGAAATGAAACATGCCAATTATTCCTTGACCTTGACTAGATGCTTGAAATGCTCCTTAATATGGTAACAATATGTGCTAGGCAGCAATTATTTTTCATAGAAAATGCTTCTCTGATACCCTACTTGTACCTTCATCAATCACAGGTCACCCTCAGAGGTCCGAGCTTCTCCTTTGACAAATACCTAAATCTGGGACAGTTTAGAGTAACCCTGACTGTGTTTAGAGTAACTCTGAGCACGAGGCATTTATTTTACCCAACACAGCTAAAGGTATTCAGATTAACGTTCAGAACGACCTAGCGGGATGGTGTTTTCCCCCTCTTTACCTACGTGCCCCGTTCACGCTGCGTGGAGAAGGTCAGTGCCTTCCCTCGCGTCTGAACTGGCCGCCTTGAGCGGCCCTATTAACCGAGCCTGCGCTCACTCCGTTACTCGCTTCCCCCTCTCTCACGGTGAACCAAGGCACACCAGGAACCACCTTGTGTCCCCCGGATCTTCTCCAACCCTCCTCCACCACCAACGGCCTCTCCCACCCATCTCTGCCCCTCAGCCTCTTCGCTCCCCACTCCTTTTGCCCTCTCCGGCTCAGGACGTGTTGGTGTTCTTCCATCTCCACAATGCTGAAGCAAGCACCCCCTGCTCCTCCTGCTACCACTGCGGCACGTTACGTTTAGGCGTATACTTGAGGAAGACCTTTGCACAAATTCCCTGTCATCAGCTGGCTCGCCCCGGGATGCCAGCGCAGGGGAAGGCGTCGGGGGGCCACGGGGAGATGCTGTCAGACAGAGCAGTCTGCTTCACGGGAGCTGAAGGGAGGGAGCAGCAGGGAGAGCGTGAGGGGAAAGCACAGTGTGATCCATCAGAGCAAGGTGGGAAACCAGCCTGCGAAAGGAGGCGTGAGCTGATTGCTGACAACCCGAATGCTGCGCTCAGGTCCTCTCCTTGCCATCTGCCGGGGCTGCACCAGGTCCTCTCCTCTCCTCTTTCCACCTTCGGCTGTCCCTGGGTAACCTCACCCAGGCTCAGGCGTCCAGCTCCCGTGGCAATTTGTGGCTGGTGGGTGCCAAACCAGTAGCTAAAGCCTGGTGAGAAACGTCCTCGCTGAGCAGCCAGGATGGAGGGATGGAAATGCCTCCCTTTCTTAGCTGCCTGGATAACGCTCCGCGTTTGAAGCATAACCCTGACTCTTCTGCAGGGTCTACAGTATTCCTCATGCTTGCTCGTGACACCCCCTCCAGCCCTGTCCGGTCCCAAAGAGACGCTCTGGTTCTCATTTTACAGAACTCGTATCTGAGACACGGTGACCCCAGACAAGCCACTCTCGGGGGGCGTCGGGCAGAACAGGCAGCCAAAACCGGGCCCCTGGGCGTACGAAACACAAGCTGTCTTTGCTCTTGTGTTCAGGCTCAGATAAATTCCCTTCCACAGCTTCTCAACCAGAGATGTAATCGGATATATTTGACAAATCTCAGTCACTGGGGGTAATTCACACACCCCACTGAAACAAAGCGTTGCTTCAGTACAAACGGATGCGCTGAAAGGGCAAAGGTTTGCTTGTGAGGTTCACAGGAGACACAAGGTGGTGATTTCTGTGCTTACCTTCAACACCGTGATGTTCCACGCAAAACTCTCAATGGCTTTGCTTAATTTTCTTCCTTTCAGACCTTCCTTTGTCCCAAGGTTATGAAGCTCTTCGTGGAATTCCATTCCTAAAAAACCAGATTGCTCGATCACCCAGTGCATGACTGATGTCCCCTGTCCAAGTTCAGCCAGCATTTTCAGTCTCGCAGCCGGCGCTTCCTACAACCTCTCACGGTGTTCCCCCCCCTTCCCCTTT